GTAAAAAAGACCTCTTAAACAGGTCGGCTGCGCGCGCTACGCTTCCCTATCTGCTTTGCTTTTCCCACCTATAAGAAATGAGCAGAAAGACTCAGCGGAAAAAAAGCAGTTGGATGATAAATAAATCTTTGTTTGCATTTTGACTCGCCCTACGGGCTCGTCAAAATTCTGCACAACTCGTTAAAATACTCAGCGATACTACACACCAAAACATATAAAAAGATATATATTTAACAAATAGAGAAGCCTTGACTGTGCTCTGTTCTGTTGTAAAGCACGCAGGAAGCGACTGGAGCACGAAATAAGTGTAGGGGGAAACACGAGACGTAGTCTTGAGTGCTCTAGCCGCTTCCTAAGTGCTTTACAACAGAACAAAGTACAGTCAAGGCTTCTCTATTTGTTTTATAATAAAGAATCCGTTAAATTCCCCAAGAATTACTTTCAATTTTCAAAACAAACTTTATTTCCAAAGCGAACAACAGTGTCGTCAGCATGCTCTATACTCTCATAAAGCACGCTACAATAAGCCAGTCAGAATCCCCGTTAGAATGGTTCAAATAACCTGATTGGCTGTACAAGACTAAAGCTGTCAAAAATGTCAAACCATCAAAGTTCAAAAACCATCAAAGTTCATATTCTACAATAGTTTACAAATTAAAATAGCTTGGCACGTCGAATTTAACAGTTTTTCCTGAAGTTTTTTAGTTTCTAATACAGAATCTGAAAGTGAAATGTTCAGTGAAACTCGGCCCAATCGTGGCTCACAAAAATACGCAAGTTATGTCACATGACAAGTAAAAAACAAATTATTCAAGGCGAGTGTTTTATGAATGAACGACAGCCGAATTCACCAAGACATGAAGATCGCTCGCAATGACAGCGTCGTAAAACTCGGCTACAGTGACTGATGTGGCCTTCCACTCAACGCATCGGAAAGGTTATCAGAGCAAGCTCTTATTTTTCCACTCGAAGGGTAGTCGATTTGGTTCCTGAGGCTTGCTCCACTGCGATGACCGAAGATCGCCATCATGAGCTAGCTGCGATAGACCTCGATAGTTCCTAGCTATCTTTAGTAAGCTATCTTTAATAAGCACTCTTTGTTCACTATTTACCAAGCTTTACTTCTTACGGGGAATACCCTTTAGCTGGTTTTTATATTCCAATTATCTGTGGCTCGTACCGGGTATTCTATCTTGAGGAAGTTCTTCTTGACTGTTAGTTAAATTTGCATCAAATGGATCGCTGATTAAGTATCAGTATCAATGTCGATCAGTATGAAAGCAGCTGTTGTCGCAGATAGAGTTTCCCATGGTAATTTTCTCGTGCTCAATGAAATATTTTCCTCATCGTAGTTAATGGAAAAGAATGATATAGATCTTTCTGTAGTTTACGATTACGATCTCGACCTTTGAATAAGCTATAGTTGTGGTGTGTCTGAATATCGTTTTTGAAAGCAGATTACAGCCGAAAAGTAAGTTCTTGGGAATACCGGAGCATGTGTTGCACAGGTCCACAGGATTCGCTGCTATTTATCTCCAGAGATGACATGCCAGGAGGATAGAGAATTATATAACTGTAATTCTAATCTCGAGATGACAGAGATAAAGTTCGTTCTACCTGTCAGTGGATCATGTCATGCGTAGAAGTATAAAAATGCGAAAACTCCTTCCAACGCAAATTTCCCCAAATATTCCTCGTCGCCGGTCAAGGTAGGCGTAGGAGGGCATAATAACTTTGAAATTTCTTTTGAAATCAAAGTGACTAACTCTTCCTTTTTCTCGTTCTTATGGTGTCCCTTGATCGTAGTCAGAGTGACGATAAAAAGGCCTATATTGTAAATGCAATTGGTAAACGGTTTATTTATATTCAGTTGTATACGCGAGTTTTGAGTCGATTTGCTTTCATCGAAAATTGTCATCATATACAAACCAGTGTTGATTATTTTGAGTTTGTTTCTATTGTTTGAGTCACAAACGAAATGAACGTCGTTAGACTATTTCACATTGATGCTGTGATTTACTGATGTATTATAATAAGATTCCATCTGTTGTGTATTATTATGAACCATTTTCCTTTATGATAATTATAGCTTTGTCTGTGAATATATGAAAATCGGATAACTGCGGATAAAGAAGTGAATACGAAAGCGATCTTCGCAGTAATGACCCCTGCTTGAGGATTGGCGGCACTGAAAATAAGCCTGAAAAAAAGATACGATTTTCATATATTTACAGTAATTTATTCATCACTTCAAAGGTTCATTTAGAACCAACATAATGACCAGCTCCCGGTTGGTATTGCAGAGGTCATGGGTGCAAATCCCGTACAAGCCTGAATTTTTTAGGCCTCATTTTGACTTCTGTGTTTACTTTGTCACATTTTTCATCTAAGAGTACCAACATTTGATTTCATATATACGTCTGTTATATGAGGTCTCTTATCGAAAAGAGTGTCAAGGTCTGATTTCGTATACACATCTGATTTATAATCCTTGTTATCGTGAAGAGCGTCAACTTCAGATTGGAGTTTATGTGTTTGTCTTTGTCTGAATTGCGATTAAATATTCCCATATATAATAACGTTACATTAATCAAATTTTCAATATTGTTATAGTCGAATAATCAAGATCATGCAATAAAATTGTATTAACTGATGGTGACATTCTGATTCTTACCGATTCATCAACGTTGAAATCTGCGATAAACGAAATGCCAGTGTCGATCCATTTGTTTCCAGTACTTTCGAACCTTCTCAATAATCGATCTGACTTAACAGACCCACCAAGTAAGGTTAAAGCGCTTCATTTATCTGTTTTCAGACCGTCATTATAGGTGATCATATAAGTTCCAGCATGCATATGTTTAATGGTCAAAACTTTATGAAATAAATCCCATCCAAAATCGCCATCATTAGACATAATAACATGATCTGTATAATCTTGTGTTCCAATATTAAACTGTTGCCAAACCAGGAAGAACTTTAGCGCCGACATTAGACAATAATCTTTGAGCTAGAGTCATAAGACTGCTAAACAGAGAGCCACCTCTAGTCACAACATGACGTAAATACTATCTGCGATTTGCTTATTTTGATATCCACACCAACACCAGTTGACATTGCTCTCTGTATCTTTTTGATGTGCGTTTTCGTGAGCATGAATTCATCGTTACAGTGTAACTCGTTATTTGATAGGCGTAGAGTAAAAGGATATCTCTGTTGAAGCGCTCTTGATAATTTCTGTTTTTGACTGTCACTAAAGGTGACCCCGTACGAATGATACGTAGTCATATATAAATAGAGAATATAAAATGGAGCGCGTAGATATGGACTTTCTCTTCGAGTGTTCAGCTCGATAGCTCACGAGTGAGCGCAGCGAACGAGTAAGAAGTCGAGTTGAACACAAGAGAAATTTCGTATCCACGAGCAAGCATGTGTTATTTTGTTTATCATATAAACACAATAGCCCTTTTCTGGCAAGAAAAGTCAACTTTATTAATGAATGAAAATAAAAGGATCGACAATCCCTGAATAAAAATCGTAGAGTGCGTTGGTGCGCTCAAGACGAAAACATGCGTTGAATCACTACAAAAACAAACAATGGGTCTAATTTTCAATAAACAAAATTCTTAGTTTTTGAATTGGTCCTTTCCGACAGAAGAAATTTTTTTAGGTACACGGCCAAAATCGACTTGCAGCAAATCGTCCAATTGTCGATTTTCGTTCCTAGCCACGAGAAATGTCATAAGAATACCAAAGCCTCTTAAAACGTAACTTTCGGTTTTTCTTTTCGTATTTTAGTTTTCCTCCACTTCTAGGAAAGTTTAAACGTCACCGTGCGTTCTTTGTTGGCTGTTACCCTTGTTCTCTTTGCGAGTTTTCGTAAATTATGAAGAAGGATAACCATTAGAACAAGGGCAACAGCCAACAAAGAACCCGCGCAGGAATCTAAATCCACTGCCTTTCTCCCTTACATAAAGGGTGTATCAGAGGTTCTTCGCCGCTGCCTACAACATCAAGGCATACAGACCGTTTTCAAGCCTAACATGATACTTAGGTCTCACTTAGCACGACCTAAAGACGCCCTGGAACCAACAAAACAAAACGGTGTCGTTTACAAGATCACATGCAGATGCGGCAAAGTGTATATCAGTGAAACAGGGAGATCAGTGCGAGAAAGGATAAAAGAACATGACAGAGACATACGGTTTGCTCGTACTCAGACCTCTTGGGTTTCGGAGCACACCAACGAAACGGGGCATATTCCTATTTAAGGTTAAGTTTATTGATCGTGACCCCCACTGGTACACACGTAAGGTCAAAGAGGCTATCCATGTAAGACTTCATCCCAACAACATCAGTAGAGATAGTGGAGTCGAAATTCCCGAAGCTTGGATACCCACGATCAAACAACACAACAGCCGGTCAATGAGGACCTATGAGGGAACACCATCTGACAACCGGAATAATAATGAGGATCGAAATGCACCAGTAGCAACGAACCATCGTGCTACAAATAACGACACGGAAACAATCGACCTCATCGCCTGATAGAGATTAGTAGTATTGCAGTCTAAACGTCGCGATCAACATCCAAAGTGACTCCATCGTGAGACAAACGAATAAAGTTCGTCTCCTAATAGTTTGAATTATCATGAAACCTATTAAATTTACCAAAGCATTGATAATATTTCAGTCATTATTTGTTTAAGCTCTCAGAACAAACTTTCTTGACATCACATCTACACTGATTTCTTCCTAATGCAGGATCAAGGCAAACATATTGTACTCTGCATTAGGTGTACCAGATGATGTGTATTTCAATTCAAGTTTCGTAGAGCCCGACTTCAATCCTTCTTCTTGGTTTTATAAATCAGAATAGAGGACAACGTATGGATTCTGAAACAAATCAATATCGATCGTCGGGTGTGTCAGATAGATCATTGAAAGCACGGGAAAATTGCATAAGAGTTCTATAAGTCTTAGCTAATTCGATTCATGATTCACTCTCTCTTGCGGATAATAAATGCCATCGAGATTGTTCTATTATTTGCGATATTATATGTGTTGAACAGGAAGAAATTCTCTTCTTTTGATGATTGTTTTTCAAGGTTCAAACACCAGACAAAAACGTGTCTTGGCTTTCTTAACGCTAGAAGTTATTTTGAATGTTGCGTTTTGTTGTCGTGTTGTTACCCCGATCTCTATTCTCTCTTTCAAACAGGGTCATGAGTGTGTTTTCAAATACTTTTCAAGGAATAAGTACTCACCTTTATAATTGAATATCATCTTTGGTACCCACAAAACAAATCTTGAAATAACATATCGATCTTCTGCCGCGCCGGCTGGTCTGAAAATAACATGGTCATCACTTTCTAGGTTTATATTTATGGATACCTTACCACATGAAGCTATCTCTGATTGAAACGATTCGAAGAAACTATAGTTGTTCAATGGAATTAAGAGGTTATTTGTAGCATTAGTACTAAGAAGTACTTTCCTTTTGGCAAAACCATCATTGTAATTTGCATTATCTGAAGGTGCGATATTCTGAACTTGGTCATCAAACTGTGGCGTAGTGTTTTGGCGTTTTGAATTACAGAACCGGTAGCTGTATCAGGATAATGGAACATAGAACCACCTACCTCCTCTCTGTAAACGTTGCTAAACTCAACTAAATTTAATTTCTGACATTGATTGGGTGGTTGACATTTGAAGTATCTAACACGTTCACCCCCATTGAAGTCGATCGTCTTTAAGCTGGTTTATCAAAGAGTGAAAAGTATTTACGGTTGCTGCACGGTGAACATGCTATTGGAACTGATTTCATTGAATAATGCTCTTCTGGGCTCAATGTGAAAGTAAGATAGCGGGAGATTATCAGCGCTAAAGCGATATAGAACATTTTTTTTCTAAATGTGTTTCCTATTAGATTCTCAGGTGTTATCTATCGTACAGTGATCAACTTTCTTTCTTGCGGGCACTTCAATGACCGACGGTAATTTGGCCCTTCAAAGAAAAAAATGGTTATCGTTTTAAAATGTGCTACAGATCGTACGCTGCTATAACAAATGTTTAAATATTTTTGCTATTTAGACTTTTTACTGCAATCCTAATTGGGTAAACTATTATATCGAGAGAAGAAGAAGGCGCACACTACAAAGAAAGTGATTCGAAATTAAAAAGAGCTGTTCAAGCTTCTTCCCTTCCAAATTAATTTCATCGTTAAGGTTCCATGTCTTTACCATTTTTTTTATTGCAGAATGTGACCCACCACTCAGGGATACTTATTGCTTCAATGGTGGGGCATGTTTCAGGTTTCCAGGCCCGGAGATGACCCCGCACACAGGTACCCATTGCGTTTGCCCGATGGGTTTTGAAGGGAAAAATTTTTAACCAATTGTAACTGAATTTAGATAATTTGCTCGATTGCAGAACAGTACGCGAAAATTAAAGCCGCCGGTTGTTCAGAGCTGTTTTCCTCTAAATTGCATTCATATTTCCGTGCGGTAGAATAGACGTTGAATGCGCACGTCTAATTTAATTGTGCAACTCAAGTTGGTGACGATTACAGAAAAAGATAGGGAAAATCGACTTAAGTTTGTGACTGGTTTCATCTTTACTTTATATGACAAGATGAGGGATAGTTTCCCATTTGCTGATTCTCCACACTACCATATGTGTGAAAAAGCTTTGGTTGACGCGCATGATTTTGGATCCAGAGAACAGACTTCGACTAGGAGAATTTTTCAAGGAAACCTAACAGAAAACAAAGGCCAGAAAAAGGGAGCTGTATAAAAAACGGGGGAGGCCAATTTTTTCGGTTTCCCCAAATAGACACTGATAATGGCTTGCCAGTCGCTCTAAATGGTTGTTGTTGTTGTTGTTGTTGTTACCGTTTTTTTTAAGGTAGTGATAAAAAAGTCGCGATAATCCCTACCGCTTATTTCGCGCGTGCCTAAATGAATTGCATCAAAATCACGTGTCGTGAGTGAACCTAAAAGGCGCATAAAAGTGCTTATTTTGAGAGTTCGTTTCGAAAAGTTCTCTCGCGCTCTCTAAACTTCCCACGTGCATCCATGACTCGATATACGCACGCTAATCACGGACCAATTCTTTTATGTAACAGTCAGCTTGTTAATATAACCACCTTCAGGCCGAGAAGATGAAGTTGTAAATGGAGGCAGTCCCGTTCGAAGACTTCAACGAAATCAACGAAATCTCTGGATCAAGAAAGCATGCATGAAACACTACGGTATGTCGGAAACGATTTCCTGCGATGCACTTGCAGGGGAACAGGGACTCTCTTGTTCCTCTGTAAAACAGTTGCCAACGTTAAAAAGGATCCATGGGCGATTCATAGAGGGCAAAGTCAAGGACGCTCCGATTGAAGTTTCAGCGGGGGTCGGTGGGCGGCGGAAGCGATAGATCAGCGACATTTCCCGTGGTGAGAATGCCGGGCATGGAAAGACTGGGGCTGCTGTCACATCAGTACCTCAAAGAGCGTCATTTCAAATTCCATGCAAGTTTGTCCCGCAAAGCCTGTCGGTTGTTGACATGCTAAAATTGGGAAAGCTCATTACCGATACCACAACCTCCGTTGAGATCTTTCATTTTGACATGTCGGTAATGGCGCGCACCGGAAGACCAACAACCGTGGATTTTTCTATTGAACCCGAGCCATTTGGAACTGGTGGATTTCGTAAGGCGTTCAAAGCGACTTGATGACAGAGGATTCAATGGCTCAACATGGGTGGTGAAGAGGTATCTAGAAAAGGCTGCGGTCGACATCATTGCTATTGGACAGACACTAGAAGAACATAAAAAGAAGGTAGTGCAAATGCACTGCCTTGCACAAAATTTCGCAGCTAAGCTTAAAGAGGAGCTTCTTGCAAGCGATAATGAAATCCTTTTTGGGGAAACCATGAGTTACAAGAAGATATGCATGATTGATTGGAATGATTGGCAAAGAGTATGTAACAGCAGAAGATTTTATAGAGGGGACATTCCGCAAATATATCAACAACAATGGGAGCATATGTGAGAGCGTAAATGCTGATTCCTTGATCAAGAAGGCAGTGTCTGGCAAACTTCTCATATAAACGGTCAGAGAGAGGGTGATGTTGCTGGATATCCAAGTCTGTGAAAGTTGCCTTTTTGACCTGGGGAGCCCTTTCGGCGAGAGCATCTGGATCTACATTGTACATTACGTCATATACAAGATCCCGCGGAACGCTAAGCTCGTGGACCTGTCTAAGTTTTTTGTGCAACGCTCGGTAGCCGAGAAGTTTTCCCGGCCCTTCCAATTCTTTCTTTAATGCCTCTTCAACCTCGTCCACCAGAAAGGTTTAGTCTGTGTATTTGATGCCAGAGTAGTCCAGTCTTCTGTCTGGCGTCCTTAAACTCCACGCATATTCACTAAAATCCCTTGAAACAAAGTCTAAAAGTTCAATTCGACGAAGATTTTGCTTCACATAACCACCTAACGCGTTTTTTAACTCCTTGTCTTCTCCTCGTCTGCTAATCGTTGATTCTAAGACGAGCAGTCGCCATTTTAAATGGGAGCACGATTTTACCCGAAAGGCTCTCTGGTCTCTGGCAAAGCTAGGCCAAGAAGATTATTTTTTTCGCTATGGCAATGTTAGGCCATGACCAATTTTTTTTCGTTTTAGTTATTTTTTCCCCTATGGCAACGATAGGACATGAAAAATTTTGCTCTGACCTTTTTTAATTCCATTTTAAATTGTTTTTAACAACTTTTCACAGCAAATTAATTATAATTTCGCTCCAATTTTTTTTAGTTCCCGAAATAATTTACTTCGGATTTAAAATTACTTTCATAAAATATTATTTTCAGTAAAAAACAAAAAGGTATAAAACATAAAAAAAGAAAACAAAAAAATAAAATAAAAATAAAATATGGATATACAAGAAAATTGTTGAGACATTGGGTTTTTTGTTATGGCAGTCTTACGACACCATGGTTCACCTTTTGACTTGTTAAAGATTTCGTGCGTTTAGAGTATGGATTTGCTTAACATCACAGTACTATGCCTTCCTACGCTCGCTTCAGCCGGTAGAAGAGTAGAAATAAGGGCTGGATTCTAATGCTCAACTTATGCTTATGAAATGTTCCGTGTACTTGGATTATTCCTACACAATGAAGCGTTCACCAACTTATATAAAAAACATCTATAAAATTGCTTGCTGAATTTTTTGCACTCCTACACATGGCTCACTAACAAGTACAACAAACATCATCTTTGCCATTTCGTGATTGTATTATAGTTATATCATTTCTCTATCCCTAGCATGTCGTCCCTTGAGATAAATAGCAGCGAATCCTGTGGACCTGTGCAATACAGGCTCCATTATTCCCAAGAACTTACTTTTTGGCCGTAATCTGCTTTCAAAAATGAGATTCAGTCACACCACAACTGTGCTTGATCCTCAAAGTAGTTATTCTGACGAAATTCGAGGTCGAGATCGTTATCGTAAACTACAGAAAGCCCTACATTATTGTTATGCCCCTAAATAACGATACAGAAAATACTTCAATGAGGATAAAAAAAAATTCTAAAGGAATATTCCAGCTGCTACTACAGCTCTCTTGATACTGGTCGACGAGTATACTCAAACAGCGATCTTTCTGATACGAATCAATGTGACAAACAGTGAGGAACACTTCTTTACGGTAAAGTAGCACGAGCCACAAAGAATTAAAATATAAAAAACCAGCTGGTAAAGTTCAGTATATGTGAACAAAACGTGCTTATATAAGATAGCTAATAAAGGAATTACAGAAAGTGGCTGAGAATAATTAACAGGCTACTTGAAGTTACGTTGTTTTGGAACTTGCAATTCGAGCTATTTCACGCAACTCACTTTCTTCTGTGTTCACCAATGTGTCAAATTTGTCGAACTCTGCTACCGTTCCACGTTTCAAAAGTAAAATTTTATCACAATCTTTGATGGTGTTCAATCGATGAGCTATAGTGATGACCGTAGAGTCTCTCAGTTTTTCACGCACTACGCCCAAGATTGTTTTTTCTGTTTCTGGATCTACATTTGCAGTGGGCTCATCCAAGACGATGATCTTGTTTCGTTGCAACAGCACACGAGCCAAACAAATCAACTGTCGTTCTCCAACACTGATATTTGCACCATTTTCCAACAGTACGTGATCAAGTTGCCCGTGAAGACTTTTCACTGATTCTTTCAGTTGCACATCTTGTAGAACTTGCCATAAATCTGCATCTGTAAACTGCTCAACAAGATCGAGATTTTTC